ACCCCTAGGATGTTGATAGTAGGGGATTCAGTGATGGTAGTACCATTGAATGTCAAGAGCAGTGGTTAGATAGTTTCTTATTGGAGATGGCCATTGCTTAGCATTTGTGTGACACAAATGTTACCTGCCACTTTTCAGCCCAAGTCTGGATATTGTCCATGTGTTGCATTTGAACATGGACTGCTTCAGTATCTGAGGAGTCACAAATGATTTCAGCACAATGATTTAGCCACCAAATCAAATGAACTTAAAAGATTCTGCAGTTCTCTTTTCCTTAATCTGTAACCAACATTCCCATATGATTGCTGTTATAGTTCCCAAACTTTTAATTGTTCTAATCTAGACTTTATCCTATATATACTAGTCTCATCTGCACTTGCCTTTGCTATAACTTTTATAAATCCTAAATTAATATATTCAGTCAAATTACACCCTGATTGATCATTCCAAGTTCTCAAAACATATTTTTTCTGTCATCTGACTGAGGTATCCCATTATTACCATTCTATCTGATTCATGAGTTGTAGAGAAGCTTTACTGTCCGAGCAAATGTCCTTACACTTTCCTTTAAAAAAAAAATCGGGCATTTCTATTTGAATCCAGGCGCAAACATTTCTTGTATGTTCATTCTTTACAACTAGATATCTCAGCTTTCCACAAGGAACTTGCTAAATTCCTTTAGAATTTTTGCAACTCAAAATTATTCCAAAATCTCATAACTAATAAATTCTGTTTAATTCTAAATTTATTTATCTTTTAAAAACTTGTTGTTTCATTAGAAACTGCCTGTGCTTCTGTTCTTCCCTTGTTCTTGTTATTTGTCCTGGCAATTTTCCAGGAATTGAGAACAAAGGGAGGTCTCATGCTCCAAACATTAGTCAACCTGCCCGTGGAATCTTCATTTCCACATGAGAATGGATTCTTCTGAGCTCTTTTATTTTAAACTTTTTCTTCTGATTTCTTTCCTGAGCTTATCTTTCTCCAGGCAGTAGCCATTATAGGAACTCAGGAATCAAGAGTGGCAGGCAATTGAACCCTTCGAGCCCACTCTGCCATTTAATGTGATTGTGACTGATCTTACCCAGGTCTCAACTTCACTCTCCTGCCTGCTCCTTATAGCCTTTTATCCCACTTTTCATCAGAAACCTATCTATTTCTTTCTTGAATCTGTTGATTGATTCTGCTTCCACTGCACTGTGGGGCAGTGAGTTCCACAGATTGACAACCCTGCGAGAGAAGTAGTTTCTTTTCATCTCCGTTTTGAGCCTATCTCCTCTCACTCTATATCTATGAACTCTTGTTTGAGACTGTCTCACAAGGAGGAACATCTGTTTCACATCCACCTTATCAATCCCCTTGACCATTTTATATACCTCAATCAGATCCCCCTCATTCTTCTGAACTCCTGCGGGTACAAACACAAGCTATTCAGCCACTCCTCGTACAACAGCCTTTTCATCCCTGGGATCAATCTGGTGACCACCCCCCCACCGAACTGCCTCCAGTGCCGCCACTTCCTTCCTCAAGAAAGGAGACCAGAACTTGACACGGTATTCCAGATGTGGCCTTACCATTGAGTATAGGAGTTGGAACATCATGTTGAGGTTGTACAGCATATTGGTGGGGGGAATTCAGAACTAGGGGACGTATGCTTAAGGTGAGAGGAAAAAGGTTTAAAAGGGATCTGAGGGGCACACCAAGGGTGGTTCATGTATGGAATGAATTGGCAAAGGAAATGGTAGATGCAGGTACAATTACAACGTTTAAAAGACATTTGGATAGGTACATGAATAAGGAAGGTTTAGAGGGATATGGGCCAAACATAAGCAAGTGGGACTAGTGTAGTTTGGAAATTTAATTGACATGGATGAATTAGACTGAAATGTCTGTTTCCATGCTATATGACTCTATGATGCTATCACCACCACCTTTTATAATTGTAACCATATTTGTTTACTTTTATAATCCAGTCCTTTTGCAATAAATGCCAGGATACATTTGCTTTTCTCATTGTGTGCTGCACTTGCATACCCACTTATTGTGATTCATGCACAGACACCCAGATCCCTCTGCACTGACACTCTTTGAATCTGTTTCCCATTCAAATAATAATTTGCCCTTTTGTTTTTCTCACCTGCCTGCATGGTCCTTAGCCTTGGTCTACTGTCTGCTAATGGCTCTTGTTGAGTCTGACCTCTCTGAGCAGATTCTTGGCAGTCTCTTCCTCTCCCCTGTCCTGCCAGTGCTGTTCTGCCTCCTCACCCAGTGTTTCCTGACCTGCATCCTCATCCAGATTCTTTTGACATCAACATTTGTCCGGTGTGGCTTTCAGCCCTAACCGTGTGTGGTAAATTAGAACATACTCCCCCGATACTATGACTGAAAACAAAAAAATGCTGGAGATCACAGCGGGTCAGGCAGCATCCATGGAGAGAAGGTAAGCTGACATCTCGAGTCTAGATGACTCTTCCTCAGAGCCCTGCTGGAGGGAAGAGCAAAACTTCTTCAGTGTGGGTATTCCTTGAAGAGACGTGGTAATCGGTTAAATACAATGTACGAGCAAATTACTGCAGATGCTGGAACACCTAAATGCATTGCTGGTCCCGAGGTTGTGACAAGAAATCTTGCCTACTATACCAGATTCTGTTGTCTCACAACTTGACAAATTGATAGGAGACTCTAGAAGCAGGTCACTGTTCATTTATTTTCATGCATACACAAGAAGAGCTAGTCTTATCAGTGAAGTGTAAAACCACCAGCAACCTTTACAATTACAATTTTACAATTTATAATTCCCATGGCGCATTGTTGAGATGTTTGATGTCATGTTCTGTTTCCTGACAGTATGTACAGGCATTGTCTATATTTTATCCAAGATCGGTGCTATCCTATTGATAGTCTAATCCCCATAATCCCAACATTTTTTTGTACGTTTCTGGTTCCAATTTGATTTTACTATTATTGATAATAGACTGAAGATTTAACGCTTAACTAACTGGACTGATCTAGAATATTTATTTCCCAATCTTGGTCACCTTGTAACCCTGCCTCTGAATTGGTGATTAGATCGAAATAATTTATCTCTATTTATGCCACTAGTTCATCTATCTTATTATGAATACTTCATGCATTCAGGGTCCAGTGACCCTTCTTCAGAATGATATTTGTATCATCTACAGTCATGGATGAGATGCCAGAAGACTGGAGAGTATCTAATGTTGTGCCATTATTTAAGAAAGGCTGCAAAGAGAAGCCTGGGAACTGTAGACCAGTGAGTGTGACATCCAATGTTGGGTAAGTTATTAGAGGGGATTCTGAGAGACAGGATTTACTTGCATTTTGAGAGGCAAGGGCTGATTAGGCATAGTCAGCATGGCTTTGTGCATGGGAAATCGTGTCTCACAAACTTAATTGACTTTTTTGAAGTGACCAAGAAAATAGATGAGGGCAGAGCAGTAAGGTTATGTACATGGTCTTTAGTGGGGCCTTTGACAAGGTTCCATATGGTAGACTGGTTAGTGAAGTTAAATTATATAGGATCCAGTGAGAGATAGCTAATTGGATACAAAATTGGCTACACGGTGGGAGACAGAGGGTGGTGGAGTGTTGTTTTTCGGACTGGAGACCCGTGACCAGTGGTGTTCCACGGGAATCAGTGCTGGGTCCACTGTTGTTTTTCATTTATATAAGTGATTTGGATGAGCATATAGGAAGTAGCTGACACCAAAATTGGTGGTGTAGTAGACAGTGAGGAAGGTCATCTAAGAATACAAAGGGATCTTAATCAATTGGGCCAATGGGCTGAGGAGTAGCAGATGGAGTTTTATTTGGATAAATGCGAGGTGTTGCATTTTGTTAAGACAAACAAAGGCAGATCTTACACAAGTAATGGTTGTGCCCTGGGTAGTGTTGTAGAATAGAGAGCGCTAGGGGTTCAAGTACATAATTCATTGAGATGTATGTCACAGGTGACAGTGGTAAAGAAGGCGTTTAGCACGCTTGCTTTCATTGCTCAGACCATTGAAGTAAAGAGTTGGGACGTCATGTTGCAGTTGTACAGGATGTTGGTGAGACCGCTTCTGAAGTACTGTGTATAGTGCTGATTGTCCTGCTATAGGAAGGGTTTTATTAAATTGGAGAGGGTGTGGAAAAGCTTTGCAAGAATGTTGCCGGGACTGGAGGGTTTGAGTTATAAGGAGAAGCTGGATAATCTGGGACTTTTTTCACTAGAGCACAGGAGGTTGAGGGGTTTATAAAATCATGAGGGACATAGATAAGCTGAACAGCAAAAGTCTTTTCCCCAGGGTAGTGGAGTTTAAAACTAGAGGGCATAATTTTAAGGTGAGAGGAGAAAGATTTAAAAGCAACCTGAGGGACACATAAAGGGTGGTTCATGTATGGAATGAACTGCCAAAGGAAATGGTAGATGCAGGTACAGTTACAAGATTTAAACGATATTTGACATGTACATGAATAGGAAGGGTTTAGAAGGATATGGGCCAAATGCTGGCAAATGGGACTAGTTTAGTTTGGGGAAACTTGTTGGACCAGTACTTCTGTACTGTATGACTCTATGACCATACCCAGAGCACTAGCTAACCGATTCACCAGAACACATTTCCACCCGGGACCTTGGGCAAAGCAAGTTTGGTTGGTTTCAACCAAGATCACATTGTTGACAAGTCAGTGTCATTCAAATGTCAGGTTTGGAAATATTGCATTGGGAGAGGAAGAGACACGTGTGCAAAAAAGATTCAAGCACCTCCGAAGAGTGTTCAGGAAATTGTGCTTCAGCTCCAGCCTGTTGCTCTTCCCACCTTTGAGTGTTTGCTTGTGACACTGGACATCTAGATCAAGCAGTGCCGCATTATTCCAGGGTTGACATTTCTCAGTTTGATCAGCACACAAATGATATTTTTGGGTGAATTTAAAAAAAAGAGGTTTTAAAATTCTAGATTTGTGATGTTCTTGTAACTGTTTGTCTTATTTCTGTTTTGTAGATTGTTCCCTCGTCACCAGTTCGCATTCCCAGCAGCAGGCTGCATCAGATTAAACAGGTAAAGCTGCGTCATCCTTCTACAGTGGTTCAAACGGAGTTCAGTTTCTGTGCAGGATTAATTGTTCAATCACAAACTGCTATTTCTGATTTCAGAGATGAGAACTTTCCTGGTACATCACTGTTCTAGTTTGCTGGAATGTTATTCAGCAATAACCTATTACTGTGCTCCAATTTTGTAAGAGACACCCAAAATGTTAAATTAATTGACAGACTAAAATACAAGTATGGATCTGTATGTAGTGGAAACTGTTTGTTTGTGTATCAGATCCTATAAGTCATAACACACAGAAGTAAACTGCCTGATTTTATTTGAAGTTTTTGTTTTGTATAGACACTGACGTGTGACAGATCTCCTCATTCTTTCTTCATTTACGGGATGAGGGCGTTGCTGTTAGGCAGCATTTATTGCCCATCCCAAATTGCCCAGAGGGCAGTTAAGAGTCAACCACATTGCTGTGGGTTTGGAGTCACATGTAGGCCAGACCAGGTAAGGATCGCAGATTTCCTTCCCTAAAGGACAGTAGTGAACCAGATGGGTTTTTCCAACAATCGACAATGGATTCATGGTCATCATTAGATTCTTAATTCCAGATATTTTATTGAATTCAAATACCACCATCTGCTGTGGTGGGATTCGAACCCGGGTCCCCCGAACATTATCTGGGTCTCTGGATTAACAGTCCAGCGATAATACCACTGGGCCATCACCTCCACATTCTTCAGGGACAAGCAGGCGTGTGGCCTTAGCTGAAGACAGCACAGTATCATACTTTTAGCCTTTAACAAAGTCCAGTAAATAGCTGATTGTTTGTCAGTCATTTTTTTTTATACACAATGGTGATGGAGTTGGGAGAGAGTTTTCAGAAGTTAATTCCATTGTGAATGTGATGAACAGAAATTGCACCCACATTGTTAACACTGACAATGCAAAATCCAGATGAAAAGTTGACAGGCGTTTGATATTTGAAATGTTATTAGATAAACAACCAAAATTCCTCACCAGGAAGTAAAATTTTGTGGTCAGGAAGTATAAGATTTTCAACAGATATTCAGCTGAGTTGGAATAGTCAAGTTGTCAAAATGAAATCCCTTTAAAATAGTGTCAGACATAATGTAATTGAGTGTGACGGTTAGGTTTAGAAGGTGTGGTAATGAAATTTCTTGATGTTGATGGGTTATGGTCGACCTCACTTGTAAGATACACATTATGCACAGCTATTGGTTGAAGCTAATGATCAGAGACCTGCTGGTGCAGAAACTGAACATTATATATACTGAACCATAGTTTGGCTCCCTACTTTGGAGCAGAAAAGTGCAGCTAACCACAGCTGGAAAATGCACAACTACTGTTTCTACACACCGCACACTTCTGCTCTCCAGCTATTCCCTATACCTGTTCAGATTTATTTAAAAAATAATTACTAAGTTCTATTTTAAAACGATCATTGGATGCACAGACATCCTGAGCTTTCCTTTGTTTAGAACACAGTCAGTGGAAAACGTTCGACCGGATTTAATGTATCAAAACTCTGTATGATTGAAAAAATACTAGTATATCTCAGCCTCTGTTTACAAATTAAAACATGATTTATGAAGTCAGCTGTACATCAGCTGCATTGACATCAATATCTGCATACACAGCACAAATGTCATGAGACGTGCTTCTTTCCTATGGCCTAAAACTGACATTAACTGTCAATTAACCTGGAAATCAAACCTTGTCCTGTGTGTTAGCTTCTTAAAAACTACAGATTGGCACTGGATCCTCAGTGTAAGGATGGGGCCAGGCCCTCGGTGTAAGGATGGGGTAAGGCAGATTTTATTAAAATAGGGTAGGGTCTGGCCAAATAGCTACTTGAGGTTACAGCAGAACAGTGGGAGGCAATCAAAAAGGTACTGGGGGAGTACAAGCCCAACATGCTTCCTTTAGGGTGAAAGGTAGGAGCAACGAGCCCAGAGAACCCTGGCATGTCTTGGAAATTTCTGGACTGGATAGAAAGAAAAAGAGAGACAAGTTGTAATATTCTGCTGCTAAGACATTGTGGCCCTTCAAAGTTACGAAGTTCAGTTTCTGTGCTTTCCTGAGGTCATTTGGTAACTGTACATATTTTAGAGGACTTCTTAAATAATCCAAAAATGTGTGTGCTCAAACCCGTAGAATCCCCTGTACTGTCATGCCCCAAATTACTCCTGTTGTCTCTGTGGTTGCAAATATAACACAATAGAACTTGAAAACTTGATTTTTTTTTTCCTTAAATAGGAAGAAGGAATGGACCTCATGAACAGAGAGACAGCTCATGAGAGGTAAGATTGGAGCATGTCTGTTTAGGTTTGCAGTCAGAATCTTTGCTGCCACTAAGCAGTTTCTAACTGTATTTCTTTCATCTCCGGACATTCGAGACAGACTTGTTTGCATGAGTTTTCATATTCAGAGCAGCCATTTCATAATGAGATGATGTTTTATGAATGTCACATTTCTCTATATCAAGATTCAGCACTCTTAGTTTGTTCTCACTGTGTTTTGTATTCCCAAACTCTGCTCAATCATAATCCGGTAATTGCAGCTTCTTAAGACCAATTAATTATGCCTACGCTTTCCTTTTAATCCTGAGTGTGCTTTATAAACAGGGGAGTACAGGCAGCAATGCAGATGAGTGTTTCATGGGAAGAGAGCTTGAACCTGGTGAGTGATCAATACACTTGGAGAAATGTCCTTCATTATTGAACTCTTAATAGCTGCTACTAACCACAGTTACCTGCAGTTCTCGGGGGGAATGATGTTCTCCTTGAGAAAGTAATCCAGTGAAGTAAGACTTTTTAATTGATTGTTTTCATTCAGGGCTGCTTGTTTGTCAGCGTCCGAAAAAGTTCGCTTTCACACTCCAGGTGTGATCAGATATGACAGGAAGAAAACTTAAAATATTTCATACTTTGATCTTTTAGAATACTGAATGAATCCAGGCACATGCTTCCATCATAGACAGTTTCATGAGCACTGTCAGATTAAATTGGGTCATGAATTCCAAACAGTTATAAACTGAGCGAATGTATAGAAACTTGATCACTGTATTGTTTCCTCACAGACAGACTATGATCTAACTGTACTGGTGTTTCTTGCTGAGGAGGTAGTCTAATTATACACCGGTCTGGCAGCATCTGTGGAGGGAGAAACCAGGTTAATATTTTGAGTCCAGTATGATTTGAAGAGCAGTCATATTGGGTTGAAACATTAACATTGTTTCTGTCTCCACAGATACTGCCAGACCTGCTGAGTTTTTCCAGTGTTTTGTTCTTATTTCCGATCTCCAGTAGTATTTTGTTTTTATTTAACCATGCACAGTACACCTCAGTGAAGAGATAGTTGCAGCACTTTCTATGTTCACCATGCGATCTGTTTAACTTAAGTGTCAAGACAGTGTGGAGCTGGAGGAACACAGCAGATCAGGCACCATCAGAGGAGCAGGAAAGTCAATGTTTTGGGTTGGGACCCTTCATCACAATGGTCCCGACCTGAAACATCGACTTTCCTGCTCCTCTGATGCTGCCTGATCTGCTGTGTTCCTCCAGCTCCTCACTGTGTTGACTTTGACTCCAGCATCTGCAGCTCTTGCTGTCTCTGGATCTGTTTAACTTGCATGTGAGTGAGTGTGTAATGGTTAGTTCAGTGAATGCACTTACTGGGAGTACATAAAGTACTACAGTTTGATCATTGCTGTCTTGCCCGAGTAGGAAATTGAATTCTGTTGAAGGCTTGTCCTTTGTGAGAGTAATTGATTGTTGTTCTGCTCACCTAGAGTGATAATGACCTGGATAAATCTGCCTCGCCAAAGCGCATTGACTTCATTCCAGTGTCACCGGCTCCTTCACCAACGAGAGGAATCGGGAAGGTAGGTAGTTTTACGGAGAGTACCTGGACTGATGTGAAAGCAGACAAGTTATCATTTGTCAAGCTTTTTCAAAGAGTTCTAATGGTCTAATGTGGAGTCATTGTAAAGAAACCAAGTCTATTGGGAATTGATCATGTTTGTCAGCGTGATCTCAACATTTCCACGGTTTATTGTGTTTGAGTGGAGGTTTGTAGGAGGTTGGCTGAGGGGAGTCTGGGAAATGAGTTGGGGGGAATTGGGTTATGGCTGGGTGTGTAGAAGTCTGGATGAAGAGGCAGGGGCAGAGTCACGGTGATGGGGCAGGGTGTTAGTGTGGGGAAATCGAAGAAGGGGGAGATAGGTGGGGGCAGGGGAGGGAAGCGTTCATTTGGATGGAATTTAGCCAGCTGCACTGGGGAAGGTGGGGATGTTGGATGGCTGAGTGGGGTGACTGAGATGGAGGGAAGCAGCTGGATGGGAGGGTGAATCAGGTGATGGAGCTGGGGGATGCGGAGGGTGAGCCGTTGTGAGGGGGGGTAGCCATTTTAAGATGATAGGACATAGAGAGAGTTGCGGGGCTGGTGGGGTGAGTCAGGGCTCCTCTGAGAAGGCTGCAGCCTGTTGGTTATACAGTCCAAGGTTTCCTTCGATGATCTGCTCAATATTCTGAAGTGGGATTGAATGGACAACTTCCTGCCTCCACAATAAGATGTAACCCAATAAAGGATGGCTTTACTGATGAGTACGAGCATCTTGTACCTGTTTACATTCAGGTGAATAGGCTTTCTGTGGGTGGACTCTTGGACCAGTGGATGGCGGCTTCCTTTGGTGATTAGCAAATGTTCAAAAAATCCTGCTTGCACTTCCATTTGATAAATGAAAGTCCAAATTGAATCTCAAACTTGAAGTCTGCTGTTTTAGCTCAACCTTCCCTGTTTTTAAATACATTTCAGTCTCTACATGTGCAAGTCTTTCTGCTCACTGCTGACAGGACTGGATTTTTCCTTCTAGATGTTGATAACTTCTCACTCTTCCTCCTCCCACTCCCTACAGCAATGCTTCTCGCCCTCCTTGCAGATTTTTGTGAGTAGTAATGGGCTCCCTCCAAGCCCCACCCCTAGCCCAACAAGGAGGTTTGCCACGTGAGTATTCCCTGGGAATTTTGTTGAATCAGAAATGTTTCTTTGAAACTTGTGAATTTGGTATGTCCTGAGCTGCGTTTTGGTAATTTTTTAAAGCATTTACTGTCTGGAACAAAAGTAGAATTTGCTGGAAAAGCTCAGCACGTCTGGCAGCATCTGTGAAGAAAAAATCAGAATTAACGTTTCGGGTCCAGTGACCCTTCCTCGGAATTGTTTGGAGATGGGTGTTACTGGCAAGGCTGGCATTTATTGCCTGTCCTCTGTTATCCTGACATAGGGATGGGAATTAGGGTGAGGCTGAGTGTCCAAGAAGTGTAATCCCAGAATTAAAGGCTATCTAAATAGACTTGTCTCTGGGTATAGAGAGTGATTTTTGCTGTTTGTGTCAAGCTTTGCTCTGTTCACTGACACTCCACATACAGACAGCGACTGCGACAAAATGAAGCACCAATGAACTTGTAAAATTTGTGTTGAATTGGCAAATTAACTTTAATATTGACAAAAGGTTAATAGTGTATTTGCTACAAAAAATAGGGAGGACTCATTTACTGGAGGATCAGTGTCAAAGTCAGACTTTGCTCACTGCCGCTGTCTGCTCTCAGGCCCTTGCACAATTTCAAATCCATGTTGCCAGTAATCCCATGGGTTTTAATTTATTAACAGTGCTAGTATGTGATATTTTGTCAAACAGCTGTTAGATATCTACATACCCAACATCAATTGTGCTGTCCCTTATCAAAACTCTATTATTTCAACAAGGTTTGAATCTGGTCTGTCGAGTAGAATTGCCTTTAATGAATCTGTAGCGACTTTTATTTATTAATCTTTGCTTTCCAAATTCCCATTAATTTTGATTTGGAATCTAGTCTCTGAAAGCTGTCTCCACTGCATCCTCAAGTCCACGGAGAAAGATTGATTGGCCTCTATTTGCTGTGTTTATCTATCCTAATTTTGTTGAATATGGGTGTAATGTCCACAGTTCTCTAGGCCAATGGCACCACTCCATATAGTCACATTTCAGGAGATAGATATCCTTATAGAGGAGACATGTAAAAGAGAAGATTGTGGTCAGAACCTGTGTAATTTCAACTCCCACTTTATTCCATCCCATCGTAACCAGGTAGCTTTTCCACTTCGAAGAATGCCAACCTGTCAAGTACCTTGTTTTTATTATTATTCATTCATGGGTTGTCTAGACCAGTATTCATTGCCTAATTGCCCCGAGGGCAGTTAGGAGTCAACCACATTGCTGTGGGTCTGGAGTCACATGTAGGCCAGACCAGGTAAGGATGGCAGTTTCCTTCCCTAAAGGGCATTAGTGGGCCAGATTGTTTTTGTCAATTGTTGGAAAGACTTCATGGACATCATTAGACTCTTAATTCCAGATTTTTTATTGAATTCGAATTCCACCATCTGCTGTGGCGCGATTCAAACCCAGGCCCCCAGAACATTACCTGGGTCTCTGGATTAATGGTCCACTAGACCATCACCTCCCCTGTTGACATATGTTTTATTATGATAAAAGCACGATGGGGTATAAGGTTTGTGGGCAGTGTGAGTGTGACCAGTCTCTTTAATGGATTCTAACTGCAGTGACTGTCCTCCTTGCTGGAACAGTGGAAATGTGCATTTTGTGTGATGTGAGGGATCACTGAGGCATGTGTTATTACTCCAGCATTTACAACAATTGTTACCTTAACAACCTGTCAAGGAGATCGTCAGAAATATTTGAATCTAATTGATCTTGTTAAAAGACAAAAATTCTTTATTTAATGCCAAAAGAGCAGTGCTTTTTTGCAGAAGTGAATTTGAAAGTATTTGTAAAGTTAAAATTTTAAAGGATAATTTTAGGCAATTATCTGAATACTTTGCTGGTGTTTGGTGTCCTATGGTCATGGGGATTTCTTCAGTTCACAGCTCAAGTGAAGCTATTGAAACCAAAACACGTGCTGGTTTTCAGCAGCTGTTGATTGCTGGGTTTTGTTCGTGCCATTGGTTACTAAAGAACTGTTTGAAGTTGTTGAGTGGAATCTGGGTATAGTTTTAAAATATCAATTTCTGTTATGATTTCAGTAGGAGGAGCCAGAGCCCAATCAACTGCATCAGGCCGAGTGCGCTGGGGCCTTTGAAAAGAAAAGGTAACCACTCTGTATCAAATGTCATTTTTCTTTTAAAAAGGCGATTTATTGACCTGTCAAGTGCTATCAAAATTACAATTGATTGTCGCTATGTTAAAAAAGAATGCTAGATTTAAACCCCACTCCTACATTGGGTACAGAATCCATTCTGACTCCTTCAGAGAAAATCTCTTTGAGATGATAGGTGCATTCAAGAGATCCTTTGGCATGTGTCACAATAACAGCAGCAGTATCCTTCAGTTAGCTCCATCAAAATTCATAAAGTGATCATTTCTGTCATTGCTGTTTTGCATGATCTTACGATGTGGAAACGAGTGCCAAAACTTTCTAAAATATTTCAATAGGCCAAGCAGCATCAGAGGAGCAGGAAAGCTGACGTTTTCGGGTCTTCTTCTTTCTGAAGAAGGGTCCAGACCCGAAATGTCAGCCTTCCTGCTCCTCTGATGCTGCTTGGCCTGCTGTGTTCATCCAGCTCTACACCTTGTTATCTCAGATTCTCCAGCATCGGCAGTTCCCACTATCCCCAAAATAATTCAATAGATTGCTTTGACAAGGCGAAAGGTGCAAATACAGATACAAAACTCAGCTACTGAAACAATCCATGTCCAACAGCAGCATGACCTGGTCTGATAGGTTGCAAGCAACATTCACGTCATGCCAAGTGCCAGACAAAGACTATTTTGAGATGATTTACAAGATGGTTTTCTGGATTAATACATTGAGGGACCAACTAGAGAATAAGCCATCCTAGACTGGGTATTGTGCAATAAGAAAGGAATAATTAGCAATTTCGCTGTTTCAGATCCCCAGGGAAAAGAGTGATCATAATATGATAAAATTCTTCAATAAGATGCAGAGTGACATAGTTGATTCTGACATTAGGATCCTAAATTTAAATTGAGGTAACTAAATAGTATAAGGTGTGAGCTGGCTATGGTAAATTGGGGAAAATTACATAAAAAGATGATGGTGAATACGCAATGGCAAACATTTTAAAGATGAAGGAACTGCAACAATTGTTTATTTCTGTCTGGCCCAAAATAAAATGGTAAATGTCAGTATTTTATAATTTATGGGTTGTGATCAATTAATTTTCTACAGGGCAAAAGAGAAGTTGTCTTCTAAGGCTAGCTAATCTTTACATCTAAGCTTAAATTTTTTTAAGGCTTGTATTACATCCTGGTTATGTATTGAAACCAACTTCCATTACAGCATTTTTAACTATTTAATATTGCTGGTAGCTTCAAAGAGGCAACTATTCACTACGAAATAGTTTTAACTGTTATCCTCGCAGCTGCTCAAGGACCTAGTCTAGCACCTGACGTTATTCATTTACTGGGACAATCACCCTTTCATTAATAAAGCTGGAATTGGTCATTTATCTGTCCTAAGGCATCCTTTTATCAGAACTGTCTTGGATGGGAACATACAGCGTTCCTGTATTTACCTTTTAGCAGTTCTGTTCAAAGGTACCACTGTATTTCAGTGTGTGAGCAGGCTGCTTTGTTTTACTTACCTTCTGTCTGCCACCTTGTAAACAGGCATAGGTCGCTTAGTGTGTTCGGGTACAAGCCACCTTACATAGCCAGGTACAGGTCACCCCTACAGAGATTAAGTTTGTATGGAACATACAAACTGATTGTAAGATTTGATGCTGTTATGCAAAGAGAATAAGATTACCTACATTTAGAAACAGGAGAAATTACAATGGGAAACAAAGAGATGGTAGACTATTAAATACATATTTTGGTTGTGCCTTCACAAAGGACAACCCAAATAATGTCCCAAAAATGTTGGGGAACATAGGGTCAAGAGAGAGAGGGTAACTGAAGGAAATCACTATTATTAAGGAAAACCGAAAGAACTGCAGATGCTGTAAATCAGGAACAAAAACAGAAGTTGCTGGAAAAGCTCAGCAGGTCTGGCAGCATCTGTGAAGGAAAAAAAGAGTTAACGTTTCGGGTCCATGAGGTTCTGAGGAAGGGTCACTGGACCCAAAACATTAACTCTTTTTCTTGCCTCCACAAATGCAACAGACTATTAGTAATGAAATTGTTTTGGGCAAATTGTTGGGATTAAAGGCTAGTAAATCTCCAGGGCCTGGTAATCTACATCCTAGCTTAAGGAAGGGACCTTAGAAAGATTGGATGTATTTGTGATCATCTTTCAAGATTCTGTAGACTCTAAAACAGTTCTGCACTATTTAATTAAGGTGGTGAAGAGAAAACGGGGAATTCTAGACCAATTAACCTGACCGTTGGTAGTGGGGCATATGCTAGAGTCCATTGCCAAAAAATTAATAGCTGAGCATTTGGAAAACAGTGATGGATTGGACAGATACAGTATGAATTTATGAAAGGGAAATCATGCTTGACAAATCTTTTGGAATTGTTTTGAAGATGTAACTGGTAAAGTTGATAAGAGGGAGCCAGTGGATGTGGTTTACTTAGACTTTCAGAAGGCGTTCGATAAGGTCCCACGTAAGAGATAAGCGTGTAAAATTAAACCACGTGGGAATGGGAGTAAGGTACTGACATGGATAGAGAACTGCCTGGCAGACAGGGAACACAGGAGGAATAAATGGGTTGTTTTCTGAGTGGCAGCCAGTGACCAGTGAGTAGGGCTCGCACCCCATCTGCTGACAATATATATTAATGATGTAGATGAGGGAGTAAAATGTAATATCTCCGAATTTGCAGATGACACAAAGCTGGGTGGTGGGGGTGGGGGTGAACCTTTTGGGCAGAATACACCTCAGTTTAACAACTCACCTAAAAGATGGCACTTAGCACAATACATGCCCACCCAATGCAGTCCAATCCTCAGCTCACCGCACAGCGGCTCTGTCCCTGTGGAGCAGTGGGACAATCAGTCGAGATATTGCACTTAAGTTTTTGGAGTGAATCATGAACCTTTTACCTTCCGACTCCAAGGTGAAAATAATTTCCAACCTACCACAGTTGGCACTTTCTTGCATAGAGAAATAATGTTTGTAGCTGTAACGATTAATGTTTATTTCGAATTCCAGGTGATATGGAGTCTGAAAGCCAACCAAAGCGACTTTTCCAAGGAACTACAAATATGCTGACCTCTGACGCCACACAATTGCCAGAACTTGGCTCGTGGTGAGAACTCCCGTTGCTTCACTTTATCACCGATCTCTGTCAGTTCTTCCTGCATTGTGTGCCCTCTATCTGTTGTTCCAAAATGCAAATGTGCGAGGAAGGAGCAGGAGGAAGCCATTCAGCTCTGATTCTGTTCCACCAATCAATGCAGTGGTAGCTTATTTGGTTGTATCCATCTACATTTCCATCTACCTCTGATAACTTTTCTCTCCCTTGCTTAACAAGAATCTGTCTGCAAAAAAAACCAAGGAGCTGCAGATGTTGAAAATCAGAAATAAACACAGAAAAAGCTGGAAAAATAGTCGCTCTGGCAGTGAGGGAGAAAAAGTTGCCATTACAAGTTAATGTAGATAGTCTGTGACTCTTCTTTCTAACTTGTGACAATTTCACATTTTGACATATTGTACTCTATTTACCACAACTTTGCCCACTCCCTTAACCTATCTGTATCCTTCTGTAGCGTCTTTATGTCCTGTTCACAACTTTTCTACCTATTTTCACTCATAGGATGTGGTCTTCACTGGCTGAGCCAACATTGATTGCCATCCCTAGTTGCCCTTGGAGTAGCCTGAGTGGCTTAGTAGGCCCTTTCAGAAGGCAGTTAAGAGTCAACCACATTGCTTTAGTTCTGGTTGCAAGCAAACCAGGACAGCCATTTCGTGAACACAGTGGGGTTTAATGACATCAACAATGACTTGATGATCTTCTTTAGACTTTTAATTTCAGATATGGTGGGATTTGAGTCCAAGTATCCAGAACACTACCTGGGTCTCTGACTAACTAGGCCAGTGACACTACCACTGGGCCATTGCCTCCTCTCTATCTTTGTGTTCTCAGGAAATTTAGTAAACCATACCATCGATATAATTATATGTATACATTATACATCATTATGGTCCCAGAAACTGACTCCTCCAGTGTCACAGTGACACCACCCGCAAACTGGAGGAGCAGCACCTCATATTCCGTTTCGGGAGTCTACAACCAATGGCCTAAATGTGGATTTTACCAGTTTCAAAGTTTCCCCACCCCCGGCCTCATCCCATGACCAACCCTCCCTCTCATCCCTGCCTCCTTGACCTGTCCATCTTCTCTCCCACCTGCCTGTCCCACCCATCTCACTGACCAATCCCCACCACTCCCTACCTGCACTTACCTATCACCATCCCACCTACCTTCCCCAGCCCCACCCCTCCTTTCTATTTATTTCTGAGCTCCCTTCCCCCTCCCTATTTCTGAAGAAGGGTCCCGACCCAGAACGCCAACTTGCCTGCTTCTCTGCTGCCTGGCCTGCCGTGTTCCTCCAGCTCCACATTGTGTTATCCTGTGGCATACTGTTTGTTATATCTTGTCAACCTGATGCTCTGCTTCCTCTAGTCAGCCAATCTTCCACCCATGCCAGTATCCTGACCCTACATCACGGCCTTTTATTTTCATCAAATATCTTTGATGTGTTACTTTATGAAATGTCTTCTGGAAAGCTTAAGTAAATATGTCCACTGCTTCGCCTTTGTCCATAAGTCCAATAGATTAGCCAAACAGACTTCCTTTTCACAAAACCTCATTCTTGTAACATGTCCCTGTATTATCCCTGTAATATGTGCCTGTTTTATTCCTGGAACATGCAGTCCATCCATTGTGTTTGTGAATTGTGATTTGGAATTCTACATGGAGCCTGTGATTTCATTGCTTTTGAGTTTAAGATATTTCATATGTGGGAGCACGTTAGCAAAGGGACTGCAACAGTTCAAGGTGGTCAACCAGCACTTCAAGGCTACTAGGGATGAACAAAGAACAAAGGGGTTTTGAGTCTGACTGTTAGAGACTTGCTGACGGTCAGTTGGACTATTTTTCGCTATTCATTTGTGGGATGTGGGCGTCGCTGGCTGGCCAGCATTTCTTGCCCATCCCTAGTTGCCCCTTGAGAAAGTGGTGGTGAGCTGCCTCCTTGAACCGCTGCAGTCCTCCTGCTGTGGGTTGACCCACAATGCTATTAGGAAGGGAATTCCAGGATTTTGACCTGGTGACAGTGAAGGAACGGCGATATATTTCCAAGTCAGGATGGTGAGTGACTTAGAGGAGAACTTGGAGGTGGTGGTGTTCCCATATATCTGCTGCTCTTGTCCTTCTGGTTGGAAGTGGTCGTGGGTTTGGAAGGTGCTGTCTGAGGATCTTTGGTGAATTTCTGCAGTGCATCTTGTAGATAGTACACACTGCTGCAACTGAGCGTTGGTGGGGGAGGGAGTGAATGCTTGGGAACTTAGCAGGTCAGTTCTAAAGAGGTAATCTCATGTACGTGGCTCCTTGAGAATTATCAACTGGAGCTCCTGCTTCTACATGCTGCTTTCATCATTTCTAATGTTTTTGTTTGTTTTTTCTTCCAGTGCGATTCGAAGTGGTGATCTGTTTCTCAGTCTTTCAACAGACTGCCTGGATGGCAGCAGCAGTAATGGCAGTTCAAGTCAGGATTCACCAGCAAAATCAAGTGCAGTGCGAGAATCTCCAGTGACAACGTCTGATTCCTGTTCGTCATTCACTGGAGGACCTGGCCTTTCACCAAAGTGACTCTGCCTATCCTAAAGGAATGTTGGAAACAGAGTCTACATCAAATATAACCTGGTGTAAACATGTGGTGCCATTAATATGTAATTGTGTAGAAGAATGTCAGTGTTAATGAACTGGTTGTTGTAATTCTGAGAAATATTTTCTCCCTTTTTAATTTTTTTCCCGTGAAATTTTTCATTTATTTTTTGCACCAACTTGGAATCTTGAGAATTTCTGAAACATCTCCTGCCAGAATTATAAGGTTTTGACTTTTAGTTCTACTTTCATAAGCAGATTCTGAATGCAGCACAGGTTTATCCTTTTCAGATACTTATGGGCTTTACTTTCTATGAATAGCACTAAACAGAAATGGTTCTTGACTTGAATTTATTTTTAAGCTGTTGTTAAATAGATTGCGCTTGGCTTAAGCAAGTGCAAATGTTAACAGCAAGCAAAGCAGCCTTGAGCCGGGTGCTAATAGTTTTGCTGTAATGGGAGAGGTGGGAGTATGGTTTGAAAGCACTCTTGACTTCCATTAGTCCTTTTGTACAGATTTTGTTATTTTAGTTATTTCTTTATTGAATGATTTTTGTAGAAGCACCTTTCACAGAGTCTCACAGTTACCTGTATAATCAGGGTACCTGTGGAGTTATTAACAAACATGTGCATAGTGTAACATACCTGAAGGGAGACATTGGTCTAATTTAATATCGTGTTTCATAACTCTCCAAGCCACCATCACAACATGACTTGTGTATAATCCACAGATTCCTATAAAGAATTTCACTGGCTTCTGGGAAAATATTTTTAGTTATATAGAGCTGTTTGTTGTTTTCCCACAAACTTTTTTTGTGTGTTATTAACTTTTTCTTGCCATGTGTTGTGATAGAATGTTGTGTAAACGTGTTTAATTTTTTTTGTGTGTTGTTATTGTTGGATTTACATCTGACTTGCCAGGACACAGAACTGTCTCCTGCTTAACAAAATCCTTATTTTTCCATCTGTGTGCGAAAAAGAAATCAGGCATCAGAATGAGGAGGAACTGATGAGTGTTTGGTTCTGAAATACTGTATCGAATGAAAATATATATTGTATATATAAAAGAATTCTGCAGCATCACTTTTATCTGCATTTGTGAAAATCTTTGAGTCATTGATAATTAATATTAACTGCAGAGTGTTAAGTTGTCACAAGCCTTGATTGTCTTGAGCAGCAGATGCACAGTTGACTTGTGTACCATCTGTGTTCCAAGGTGGAGTTTGTCTCATGCTTTGGGCATTTCAATCTTCAGTTAGAACCACTAAAGAGGGATGTCACTGACACAAAGTCTGCAGATTACAGCTATACATGATATAGGTAATATTTTATGTAAACGCAAGGATTATTACAAGTGAACGCTGACTCTGATACTTAACTGTGATCATAACTTATTGAAGAAATTAAGAATAAATCGGTAAAAAGCAGTGAATAAGAGTTACACAACAAGAAAAGTACAGACTTCCTAGGAGACTTGGAGTACTTATGAAGCTTATATCTTACCGGTAGCAAAAGCCTTGGATCACATAACTCCGTGTTAGAGCTGGTAGCATGCGTACTCTCAACCTGTCATCCTGATGAGGGTAAGTTCCTTCTCCAGTGGAGCTACTCTGTCAGTGCTTTGTTATAAACCTGTCAACTAACGTAGTTTCAATTTCACAAGCTTCAAAATCTCCCCTCCCCCTACCGCATCCCAAAACCAGCCCAGCGCGTCCCCACCTCCCTAACCTGTCCTTCCTCCCACCTCAAGCCCCACCCCCATCTCCTACCTACTAACCTCATCCCGCCCCCTTGACCTGTCTCCTCCCTACCTCCCCACCTACACTCACCTTTACTGGCTCCATCCCTGCCTCTTTGACCTGTCAGTCTCCTCTCCACCTATCTTCTCCTCTATCCATCTTCTATCCGCCTCCCCCTCTCCCTATTTATTTCAGAAGCCCCTTCTCCTCCCCCATTTCTGAAGAAGGGTCCAGGCCTTCCTGCTCCTCTGATGCTGCTTGGCCTGCTGTGTTCATCCAGCTCAACACCATGTTATGTCAGATTCTCCAGCATCTGCAGTTCTAACTAACGTAGTCTGATGCTGACCTGACCAAGGGAGTTCAATCTGAAGCCCCTGCTCGAGTTCCTGAAAGCTGTTTGCAGTCTCATCTGGTAGAAGGCTGCTGACTTTCACCAGAAATGTTGCAGCTATTCCAGTAGCACTGTGTAGGTGCAATTGAATAGGGAAATGAATGGGCACTAAAAGAATGTAAAAGAGGGAGTAATTATATTTACTTTAAATTAGAACCAATTGGATTAGGTGTTGGAATTTATACTGGTGAGAGTGAGTACAACATAGAAAAGCATGGATTTCAACTCATGCTAAAATTGAGAGAATCAAGCGGTAGCAAAGAGGGATAAACTTAATACAATCATTATCACTAGTGAAAAAGCATTAAGTAAACTAAAGGAAGCTAAGTCCCCAGGACCTGATTTTGGGCATGAAGGAAATGCTGCCAAGCCTGCTTGCTGCAGTAAATAACTAAATTTAATCCCAACAGCTTCGAAGAATTGTTGACTTTCCTCCGTATTTAAACTGAAAACAAAATTTTCTCATCATTAAAAGAGTAATGTTTCCTTAGTGAAAATCTTCTTCACATTTTGCTGAGGTCTCCATCTTCTTGCTCTATGAACATATGTAATACCTTTGTCAAATTAGCAGGGTTTTATTCATTGTCATTTTTTTTTTAAGGAACATTTATATTCCTTCATTCAGGTCATTTATAAAAATACTGAGAAGTTGAAGCCCCAGTGTGTGATTGGTCACGTTTTAGTCCCAGACACACGCAAATCATTTTTTAAACACCTTGTACAAGTGACTGCCACAGTAGGAACTTTATTGCTTGATGATCCAGTTATTAGGTAGAAATGAGTCTGTATATATTTAATTGCTCATTCACTGCATGTCCCTTGTTGTTTCTTTTCTAACAATTATTCGGCTCTGACCGTGTAGAATAATGGAATCATATGGATTGTGTGACAGACTGTGGGGTCATGCACTAGTTACAAATCCACATCAGTTAAAGGAGTCAGAAATTGTAAAGTGCCATTCTCACAATTGAAAAAAACAAAATGTTAAAATCTGTTCTCAAAAATAACTTTATTAAAATGTTTAAATAAATTGTATAAATCATGATGTAAACATTTACAAATTGTCATACTGGTAGTTTTTTTTTTCAAAAACATAAATGACCTTTAAACAGAAAATCTGCAAATGTCGGTTTACACAGCACATTTCACTCGTCCATGAGTTCTCACGGGGGAAACACCTGACTACTAGTAGTTTGCCCCGTAGGCTAATTCCTGACACTAAGTGGTCACAATCTGCTTGCTGTATTCGTAACAGTTTAAACACAATTTAACTCACATTTAGTAATTCCGAATTTTAATAAGTTGCTTTGCAGAAGACCTGACAATTGTTTAAAACAATTTTTTTAAAATACACTTTTGTGTGTGGAGCAGCCTTGGCAGTTGGGTAATTTCTGTTTGACACAGTTCAACGATTACTCACCTCTGAGCAAGACAGCCAGAGGTTTACATAGGAGCTCCTGCACGATGGGCTGTCAATTCCTTGCCCTCAGCCCACTGCTCAGTGAGTTATAAACTACCAATTTCATCTATTACTCCTTTTTATTTTGTTTTATTTGATGCACTGATCACTACAGTATAATCCTAGTGGAAGCATTAACCAACCTCCACGCATCACAAACTAATAGCTAAACTTTGAATGTCCAGACATTGAGACTGACATGCTATTTGACTGTGAAAGGTATCACAGTTGCTAGTATAGAATCCAATTATTCCCTTTGTTTCATCTCTACAGAAACTGAAGTTAATTCAAGCTGATTTCTGTAGCTGAGTGGGACCATTGCCCAGTGTTAAATCTAAGTTAAAGAATTACTCCATGTGGAAAAAGAGGACACTAGATCCAACTTTGTACCCTCTTCAGGTAGCATTAGTCAATCTGAATGCCATTCACGGATATCTCCATATAATCCCAGGAACTGGTGCGAGATGGATGACCCCTCCAGCAACCTTAGCTCTGATCCAGGTCATTGCTGAGCTTTACCAACTTGGAAGGCACCTCATGCCATGATCCAGAACCTCTAAATACAATCACTGAAGCAGACATATCAGCAACCAAGTCTTTCAGAATGGCTTCTATTACAGCTATTAGCTGGTATAGTATACAGTACTAATTTTATACATAGTACTGGCTTTCACAAAACTTAATGTACATTAAACCTAATCAGCTAAATACTTTGGAACTATTGCAACAGACTAGAAGTAAAATTAATGTTCCCTTTAAAACCCACTGCTTCCACTTGTATGGTGAGGGACCATTACCTACTGCGTTAATCTGTTAGTCATTCAATATAGACAGTGTGCTTCCAAACTGAAACATCACACTGGGCTTTATGACTAATGAAGTAATTTTGAAGTGCTGTCACTGGTGTATTGTAGGAATCATGGCAGCCGATAACTGTACAACTCAAAATCCTGCAAAAAAATGACCAGATAATTACTTTTGGTTGGGTTGATTCAAGAACCAATAGCCTGGATGCTGGGAAAAACTCCCGTACTCTATTTGAAAAAGTGTCACACAATTTTTATCCCACCTCATGAGGCAATTTAACGTTCTGAATGAAAGAGACCCTTTGACTGGACTGTGTACTCTCAGCACTGACCCTCTGACAGTCCTCCATTCCCTCAGTACTGACCCTCCAACAGTGCGGCACTCACTCAGTATTGACCCTCCTGACAGTGTGGCACTCCGTCAGTAACTCTCTGACAGTGCACCACGCCCTCAGTGCTGCCCCTTTGCCTCAGTTCTGCACTGGGAGGGTCACCCTGGATTATGTGCTCAAGCCTCTGAAACATGGCTTGAATCCATGACCCCTGAATAGACAGTTGTACCACAGAGCCAAAACTGACATGTTGGATTAAAGTAGAAATGTGATCACCACCCTAATTGAAGTTTGACAAGTGCACTTGTTGAAATAAAAACAAAATTCTAGAATTACAAAGCAGATGCACGAGAATCCATAAAGAAAAGAAACAGGTTAAAGTTATGGTGCGTACCCATTGTCACTACAGCAGACACTGCTTTTGCACTGTTGAAGTGCCTGTTCTTAAGTCAGTGTCATAAGAGTACACTTCACAGGGTACAGCCAACCTCTGGCAGAATTTCCACATGCTGTGGGTACTCACTGGATTTTCCTCAGGATCTCACCTGGGATGCAGCGACATGATTGCATAGCAAAGCTGGACAAGGATTAAAAAGTGACAAACATCTACATAATAAAAGTTACACACATGAAACTATTTATCTAAACATTTACAGAGCAATTAAAACAAAGGAAGCTTATTGACGTGGTGTTTTGTGACAATGCGAATGCAATTTTACAGCTGAAGGTCTTGCGTAAACATTAAAATGCACAAAGTTCAGATAAATCCATGCTGTTTACAACAAGTGCTCCTGCTGGAGGCCTTTACGTTCTGAAAAAGGTAATGCAGCGCCACGGCAGCAGCATGTGCCCAGATTAACAAATGGATCAGTCCATGCTGGGTCTCCTTCACTTCTCCTGTTCATGTTCGAAGGATAACCATGGTCACAAGACCTGAAATTAACAAGATGCTATCTTACTTCAGGCAGGAGATTCATATAGCACCTCTAATATTCCCAGGACATCTTAGGTACAGTCACTAATGTAAGGAAATATGGCTGCCAACCCGTGCACAGCAAGATCCCACAAACAGCAAACAAATCAACTGGTCGCTGAGCTGTGTGCTGCGAAGGCAGTAAGTGGTGCGTTCCACAGTATACTGTCTTCCTCTCCTAATAATACCACTGAATATCCCCACTGCGTCTGGACAGGGTGACTGACACAACTTTAGCTTAACATTCTGTGAAAGAAAGCACTCTTGATAAAAATGGTTTGAATTAAGTATTGCTCGGTGTAGGAACCCACAAGGAGATTAAAGTTCAGCTGCATCTTCTCTTCCCTGAGTTTAATGTTTCAGAGCAACTGGTACCCTTGAAACATTTTGAGAAACAAACCAATCACAAAAATCAAGGTGAAACCTGCTGCATGATGTTAACAATTTGGGTTTGATTTGCAGTTCTGTTCTGATTTACATTCCAGGTGGTAATTGGGATTTGTGCAGGTTTGAGACTGGACCTGTAGCTAAAGCAAGATGTTACAAAAGCAAATACTGCAGTTGACAGAATACTGAAATTAAAATACAAAGTGCTGGAAAGACTCAACAAGTCTGGCATCATCTGTGAAGAGATTCTTGCCCATGTTTAACCTGAAGCCATGAGACTTCATGGGGACCAGAGTCAAGGTTGAGGACTCCAAGGGCAACTCCCTCCTGACTGTATACCACTGTGCCACCACCTCTGCTAGGTCTGTCCTGCTGGTGGGACAGGACATATCCGGGATTGGTGATGGTGGTGTTATTTTTCTATTCATTTGTGGGATGTGGGTGTCGCTGGCTGGCCAGCATTTCTTGCCCATTCCTAATTGCCCTTGAGAAGGTGGTGGCGAGCTACCTTCTTGAACCGCTGCAGTCCACCTGCTGTGGGTTGACCCACAATGCCATTAGGCAGGGAATTCCAGGAATGTGACCCAGCGACAGTGAAAGAACAGCGATATATTTCCTAGTCAGGATGGTAAGTGGCTTGGAGGTGGTGGTGTTCCCATCCCATATGTCTGCTGCTCTTGTCCTTCTAGATGGAAGTGGTTGTGGGTTTGGAAGGTGCTGCCTGAGGATCTTTGGTGAATTTCTGCAGTGCATCTTGTAGAAACTGCTGCTACTGAGTGTCGGTGGTGGAGGCAGTGGATGTTTGTGGATGTGGTGCTTTGTCTTGGATGGTGTCAAGCTTCTTGAATGTTGGCTGCACTCATCCAGGCAAGTGGGGAATATTCCATCACACTCCTGACTTGTCCCTTGTAGGCGGTGGACAGGCTTTGAGGAGTCAGGAGGTGAGTTACTCGCTGCAGTATTCCTAGCTTCTGGCCTGCTCTTGTAGTCACTCTGTTAATGTAGTGAGTCCAGTTGAGTTTCTGGTCAATGAAAACTCCTAGGATGTTGATAATGGGGCATTCAGTAATGGTAACACCATTGAATGTCAAGGGACGGTGGTTAGATTGTCTCTCATTGGTGATGGTCATAGCCTGGCATTTATGTGGCAGGAACGTCACTTGCCACTTGTCAGCCCAAGCCTGGATATTGTTCAGATCTTGTTGCATTTGAACACAGACTGCTTCAGTATCTGTGGAGTGGCAAATGGTGCTAAATGTTGTGCAATCATCAGTGAACATCCCCACTTCTGATCTTATGATGGAGGGAAAGTCATTGATGAAGCAGTTGAAAATGGTTGGGCCTAGGCCACCACCCTGAGGAATTCCTGCAGAGATGTCCTGGTGCTGAGATGATTGACCTCCCACAACCACGACCATCTTCCTATGTGTCAGGTATAACTGCAACCAGCAGCGAGTTTGCTCCTGATGCCCATTGATTCCAGTTTTGCTAGGGCTCCTTGATGCCACACTCGGTCGAATGCAGCCTTGAAACCAAGGCTGTAATAAGGTCAGGAGCTGAGTGGCTCTGGCAGAACCCAAATTGGGCGTCACTGAGCAGGTTATTGCTCAGCAGGTACTGCTTGATAGCACTATTGATGACACCTTCCATCACTTTACTGATGATTGAGAGTAGACTGATGGGGCGGTAATTGGCCGGGTAGGATTTGTCCTGCTTTTTATGTACAGGACATACTTGGGCAATTTTCCACACTGCCGGGTAGATACTAGTGTTGTAACTGTAGTGGAACAGCGTGGCTAGGGGAGCGGCAAGTTCTGGAGCACAAATCTTCAGTATTATTGCTGGAATGTTGTCAGGGTCCGTAGCCTTTGCAGTATCCAGTGTCTCCAACCATTTCTTGATATCATGTGGAGTGAACCGAATTGGCTGAAGACTAGTATCTAATGCTGGGGACCACAGGAGGAGGCCGAGATGGATCATCCACTCGGCACTTCTAGCTGAAGATTGCTGCGAACGCTTCAGCCTTATCTTTTGCACTGATTTGCTGGGCTCTTCCATCATTGAGGATGGGGATATTGGTGGAGCCCCCTCCTCCAGTGAGTCGTTTAATTGTCCACCACCATTCACAACCGGACGTGGCAGGACTGCAGAGCTTAGATCTGTTCCTTTGGTTGTGGGATCACTCAGCTCTGTCTATCATTTGCTGCTTTCGCTGTTTGGCAGCTTCACCAGGTTGATACCTCATCTTCTGGTGCTGCTCCTGGCACGCCCTCCTGCACTCTCCATTGAACCAGGGTTGAGTGGGGGATATGCTAAGCCATGAGGTTACAGATTGTGCTGGAGTACAATTCTGCTACTGTGGATGGCCCACAGCGCCTCATGGATGCCCAGTCTTGAGATGCTAGATCTGTGCGAAGTCTGTCCCATTTAGCACGGTGATAGTGCCACACAACACGATTCAAGTTATTCTCAATGTGAAGGTGGGATTCCATCTCCACAAGGACTGTGTGATGGTCACTCTTACTAATACTGTCATTGACAGATGCAACTGCAGCTGGCAGATTGGAAAGGATGACCGTCAAGTATGTTTTTCCCTCTTGTTGGTTCCCTCACCATCTGCCGCAGACCCAGCTAGCAGCTATGTCCTTTAGGGCCCGACTAGCTCGATCAGCAGTACAGCTGCTGAGCCACTCTTGGTGGTGGACTGTGAAATCTCCTAGCCAGAGTACATTTTGTGCCCTTGCCATCCTTGTGCTTCCTCTAAGTGTTGTTCAACATGGAGGAGTACTGATTCATCAGCTGAGGAAGGACGGTATATGGTAATCAGCAGGAGGTTTCCTTGCCCATGTTTAATGTGAAGCCATGAGACTTCATGGGGTCCGGAATTAATGTTGAGGACTCTTAGAGCAACTCCCTCCTGGCTGTATCCCACTGTGCTACCACCTCTGCTGGGTCTGTCCTGCTGGTGAGACAGAACATATCTAGGATGGTGATGGTGGTGTCTGGGACACTGTCTGTAAAGTATGATTCTGTGAGTATGGCTATGTCAGGCTGTTGCTTAACTAGTCTGTGAGACAGCTCTCCCAATTTTGGCACTAACCCCCAGATGTTAGGTGAGGAGGACTTTGCAGGGTCAACAGGGCTGTTTCTGCCATTGTCTTTTCCGGTGCCCAGGTCGATGCCAGGTGATCCGTCCAGTTTCATTTCATTGAGACTTTGTAGCGATTGGTACAACTGAGTTGCTTGCTCGGCAATTTCAGGTGAGAATGGCAGATTTCCTTTCCTGAAGGACGTTAATGAACCAGATGGGTTTTTCCAACAATCAACAATGGTTTCAAGGTCATCACTAGATTCTTAATTCCAGATTTTTAAAACTGAATTCAAATTTCACCACCTGCTGATTACTTTCTCCTCTGCAAAGTGATTTATACACACATGGATACAATGTGACTGACAATAAATAGTTAGAGGCAGCCCAAGGAAATAATCAATCTGAATTATTTAACTGATTCATGAAGCAAGGTTTGAGATTTCCCAACACATTTGGTAGAACTTGACAGGTCCCAGAAACTGCTGCAAGATTCAAACTCCATATCTTTGATGAATCTTGCATGCATTCTATGCTTCATATTTCCTTAATGTAAAATTTCTAAAATTCACTGCAGTTTAGTAAGGCCAGAAATTCGGTTAGGCACTGTATTCTTGATTTCAACCACATTTCCCAAGCTAGAACTAGTGATTAGCATTGAGCAAAATCGATATACTGCCTCTATCTGAAGACCTAAAATAGACCGTACGATGTAGGAGCCGAATTAGGCCATTTGGCCCATTGAACCTGCTCTGCCATTCAATCATGGCTGATATGTTTTTCAACTCCATTCTCCTGCCTTCTCCCCATAACACTTGATCCCTTTACTGATCAAGAACCTATCTATCTCTGTCTTAAATATACTCAATGACTTGGCCTGCACAGTTCTTGCAGCAATGAGCTCCATTGATTCACCACCTTCTGGCTGAAGAAATTCTTCCTCATCTCAGTTCTAAAGGATCATTCCTTCACACTGAGGCTGTGCCCTTTTGTCCTAGACTTTCCTTCGAGTGCAAACATCTTCTCCACATCCACTCTATCCAGGCCCCTCAGTATTATGTATGCCTCGATCAGATTCTCCCTCATTTTTCTAAACTTCATCAAGCACAGACCCAGAGTCTTCAAGCGCTCCTCATATGATAAGCTCTCCATTCCCAGGATCTTTCTTGTGAACTTCCTCTGGAGCCCCTCCAATACCAGCACATCCCTCCTTAGATACAGGGCCCACAATGATCTCAATATTCCAAATTTGTCTAACTAGAGCCTTATACAGCCTTAGCTTCCTAACTGCCAACTGAACATGCATGTTAACCTTAAGAGAATCCTGAACTGGGATTTCTAAGCCTCTCTGTGCTTCAGAGTTCTGAAGCACTTTCCTCTATTCTTCCTACCAAAGTGCATAACCTCACACTTTCCTGTATTGTATTCCATCTGCCACTTCTTTACCCACTTTTCTAGCCTGTACAGCTCCTTCTGCAGCCTTCC